CATTTTTTTATAACGTTTTGGGTCGTTGTTACATTTCGGGCTCTTAAAAGGCCTCATCCTCAGCTTTAAGTGGACCACCTGACCACAAAAAGAGAAGCGGTAAGAGCTTGTGCTGTTCCTGCTGGGTTTTATAAAGCTTCTTATACAATGGAAACACTGGTATGTACAGTCAGAGCTGTGCAAGCCAGCTATCAGGAGCAGAGGAAGGGAGGGGGAAAACAGAAGTCTTTTGGCAAGATGAAGCTGAGATAGACCGGAGACCACCAAAGTAAAGCGGTAGACACTGAGGACCCCCACTGTCCCTGGAAGCTTATAGCGGGCACATGCACTAATAAGCCTATCCAAACACTGACGTTAGAACAACACCAAAGAGCACAGCAGCCCAAAAAACAAATTATAATTTAACTTATTTATTGTGCAAGAAAGGCTCGAAGCAGAACAAACGTAATCTACTTAAATGAAAAATGGGATGGGGGAGATTGGGATAATATCATAGACTTTAAATATTAATGTTTGAAGCCTGAGTGATGTCACCTGTCTGTTCCTGCAGGGGGCGCTGGAGGATCATCTGCAGCAGCCGCCATGTTGGAAATCCTGTCTCAGCCTAACTTTCATTCAATCTAACGACAGCCTGAGAGCTGGAGCTGAGGCAGGTTTTAAGCCTCTTGACAAACCGTTACATGGCGCCCACCTGTCAATCATGTCAGCTACACGCCTAACAATGGATAACACATATTCATAGAATCAAAACAGAGACATGGTTTTTTTAATTCACCCCCCGTACAGTGTGTGCCAGTGATGACAATAACTAATCAGACCTATTGAACATGTTAATTTATGCCAGCCTCAAATGGAAACTTGGCACTTATGGTGTGCCAGGCCCTCTCCTTCTTATTCCTGTCTTCATAAAAAGACAAAGTTTTGTCGTATAGCTGCGGGTGTTCTAAGACCTCGACTATAAGTTTCTCCTCCTTTGCGCCCGGCATCCCTTCAGCGAATTTGTCACTGAAATTTAATATTTTGAACTCGTGCAAAGCCGCGACAGACGTCCATTTCATCCGCAACACGACATGATTTCGCTTCATTCCATTAACTTTCTATGTACTTTTGTAGTGCGACAAATTAAATTTGTGTTTGGTGTGTACACAGCTTTAGACTCCTTTCGTCTGTTCCCTCCAAAATAACTATTTGTCAGGCTTCTCCAAAGGTACACAGACCTGAGCTCTTTTGTCCAGCACACATGGCTGGGTCCCAACACCGCCTCAGCTCCAGCTCTCAGCCTGTCGTTAGGTTGACTGAAAGTTAGGCTGAGACAGGATTTCCAACATGTGTCACGGGTGTGGGAAAAAAAGGAGGTGGACCCAAGTGCAGAATAAACTAGTAAAACTATTTATTTAAACAAAAAGGCAAAAATGTTCTATCAAAATGCCCAAACTGAGAAAATCCAAAAACTGATAAGCACTGACACTCCAACACACAACAAACAACACTGGCAACTTACAACAATGATCTGACAACACGAGGGTGGGAACACAAAGACTAAATAGACACAGAGGTAATCAAACACAGGTACGACTTATAACACAGGTGAAGATAATGAGGGTAATCAACACGGAGGGAAACACACAGAGGCAGGAATACAATACAAGAAACACTGAGGACATCTACAAACTAAATCATGAAACACTAATGACACACAGAACTCAAGAATGTAACATTACCACTAGAACTTGCCCAGGGAATTCACGTACGCCATTGTTATAGCTGTTTACATCCCACCGTCAGCTGATCCCGAGTCTGCGAGTGATGCACTTCACTCTACTGTTTCACAGCTTCAAACTAAGCATCCAAATGCTTTTGTAGCCATTACTGGGGACTTTAATCATGTGAAAATGGACAAAACACTACCCACTTTTCATCAATATGTTAACTGTCCAACTAGAGAAACTAAAACACTGGACCTTCTGTATGCTAACGTTAAGGAAGCAGCGTGCTCACTCACATCTGGAGGGAAACGGCTGCACTGTGAGAATCACCTTTTTTGATTTCTCCAGTGCATTCAACACCATCCAGCCACAACTGCTGGAAGAGAAGCTGCAGTTGATGGGTGTGGACTCGTCCATCATCTCCTGGATTACTGACTACCTGACAGACAGACCACAGTTTGTCCGACTTGGCAGTGTTCAGTCTGGAATGGTGGAGAGTAGTACAGGAGCTCCACAGGGTACTGTGCTGTCTCCTTTCTTTTCACCTTGTACACCTCTGACTTTCAGTACAACTCAAGGTCATGCCACTTGCAGAAGTTTTCTGATGACTCTGCAGTGGTGGGGTGTATAAGTGATGGGCAAGAGGGGGAGTACAGAGAGCTGGTGGATAACTTTGTGGAGTGGACAGGAAGAAATCACCTGATTCTGAACGTGGATAAGACCAGGGAGATGGTGATCGACTTCAGAAGGAAGAGGACAGAGCCACCACCGCTGTGCATCCTGGGAGAGGATGTGTCTGTGGTGGAGGAGTACAAGTACCTGGGTGTCAACATAGACAACAAACTGAACTGGAAGGCCAACACTCAGGCTGTGTACAAGAAGGGGATGAGCCGACTCTACTTTCTGAGGAAGCTGAGATCCTTCAATGTGTGCAGCAAGATGTTGGAGATCTTCTATCAGTCTGTCGTGGCCAGTGCACTGTTCTCTGCTGTGGTCTGCTGGGGGAGCAGCATTGGAGCTGGTGACACTAAGAGGCTGGACAAACTCATTAAGAAGGCCTGCTCTGTGACAGGCTGCAAGCTGCACTCTTTTGTAGTGGTGACAGAGAGGAGGACTCTTAACAAACTGTTATCCATTATGGATAATCCTGATCACCCTCTGTACACCCTACTGGACAAACAGCGGAGCAGCTTCTCCAACAGACTGATACAACTCCGCTGTCACAAGGACAGACACAAGAAATCTTTCCTACCGAAGTACTCTGTACAACAGCTCATCTCATGCGAGCAGAGAACTGTCATCATGATAATATCTGTCTCTCCATACTGTAATCTGTTCTGCACATGTTCAATTTATAAATAATCCCTGCACTCATGTTCAATTTATTTGTCTGTCTCCTCGCCGTTATATAGTATAGTTTCTGCTTATTATATGTCTACACTCATGCACTTTAACTTATGTCAATACTGTCCATTTACAACTCTGTTTTTGCACATTTACATTTAATCTTCCATATTTAATCTTCCTAATCAGGACTAGTAATGCTAAATTAAATCCTGGTTGTATATATTCCCATTCTTAGTTTTGATATTTTTAGTGCTTATTTACTTTGTATTTAATATTATATTGTGTTTAGATTTGCTAATATTGTGTGTTGGATAACCTGCTGCTGTAACACCACAATTTCCCAGTTTGAGATCAATAAAGTAATTCTATTCTATTCTGACAAAGAAACACAAGGATAAGAAACTACAAAATAAAACAGGAAACACTAAAGACTAAGCTATGAAACATTAACACAAAAACACACAAAGGGAAACAAGCAACACTAGGATGGACAGGAGAAATTAAAACATGGAAAGCTAAACGCTGAAATACAAAACTAAATGAGACCAAATCATGACAACATGGCAGATGCTGCTGATGATCCTCCAGCGCCCCCTGCAGGAACAGTTGGGTGACGTCACTCAGGCTTCAAATATTCATATTTACAGTCTATATTATCCCAATCTCCCCCATCCCATTTTTCTTTTGTAACACAACAATGAGTAAGGTCTTTTACCCGTTCTTTTGTAAATCCTCTTGAGATAACACTTGTTAAGGATTGGCTCTATACAAATAAAGATTGACTGATAATGTGGAAAAAAAATCCTTTAAATCCATCAATGTAGGTGTCTGCTGCTCTTTCCAAATAAAAACACACACTTACATCATCTGTGTGTCTGTTCACCACAGTTTGTATGTTTGTTCTGCTTCTAGCCTTTCTTACACTGTACTGTTCTTTATATGTGTTGTACTTCACAAGTGTTAACATAAATGAACAGCCAGCCAAACTCCTTTTCAAGAGCCTGGAAGTGAGCATGCTTGCTCCTTTTATTTCTTCTTCAAAGTAGAAAGCAGCCTTTCTTACACAATAAATAAGTTAAATCATAATTTGTTTTTCGGACTGCTGTGCTCTTTGGTGTTGTTCTAATGTCAGTGTTTGGATAGGCTTATTAGTGCATGTGCCCGCTATAAGCTTCCAGGGACAGTGGGGGTCCCCAGTGTCTACCGCTTTACTTTGGTGGTCTCCAGCTGAAACATTTAGGAACCCCTGGTATAGCTGATATGTCAGTAGAAGGCAGCTGATTTACAAGAAACACACCTCAGTTGATCTGCCTTGTACATTTTTTTTCTGCAGAGTTTCCATCTTCCTGTAGCAGGAAGTAAACACAAGTCCCCGCCTTTATAGGGCATGTATACTGGTTGCTGTTGGTTTCTTTATTATTCCATACGTATATGAACTCCTTATCTTATCCCACCTTTATCTGCAACTGTAGATCATTATAGAGCCCTACCGGGTGGTAGTATCAGGTCGGGTGGTGCTGAAAGATATCTCAGGTAATAACTGACTAAACATGAGGAAGTCATAGTGAAACTGAAGGTGGAAAAGTCACCCATATGCTCATCACATCATATGATCTCTGTGAAAAACAATCAAAAAACATGTTAAAGTTCAGTTTACATGCTTTGTTAAATAATCTGTGATCAATGATAATACTTATACTGTGTGTGTTCAAGATTCTTAGTTAAGCTTTAAAGTAATTTAAACTTCAGCTGCAGTAAATCTCAAAAAAGTGAAACTTAGAAGACCTCATCGGGTTCCAGGCCAGCACGTGGCAAATCCTCAGTTTACATGCTTTGTTAAATAATCTGTGATCAATGATAATACTTATACTGTGTGCTTCAATTGGACCGCCTGACCACAAAAAGAGAAGCGGTAAGAGCTTGTGCTGTTCCTGCTGGGTTTCATAAAACTTCTTATACAATGGAAACACTGGTATGTACAGTCAGAGCTGTGCAAGCCAGCTATCAAGAGCAGAGGAAGGGAGGGGGAAGTCTTTTGGCAAGATGAAGCCGAGATAGTGGACCTATAACAACCGGTCACTAAACCCATCCTGCAAAAAGAACAAACAGTGTGACACAGCTCAGTGCGTTACAGGCTTCATCCTCGGCTTCAAGTGAACCGTCTGAACACAAAATGGGGAGCGGTAAGAGCTTGTGCTGTTCATGCTGGGTTTTTAAAAAACTTCTTATGCAGTCAGAGCTGTGCAGTAATTTCTCATCTTCTTCTTGTTGATTATTTTCACTTTTCAAATGTTCTTCATTCATAACGTTCAGCTGGGCTTACAACTTGCTTTCATCAGTTGGACAGTAAAGTCTGTTTATCAAACCTTTTTTATATCTGTGTGGGTTCTCAGTCATGCAGGTCATGGTAAATATGAAGCTTGATCCAAAGGCAACAGGACTTGGTTAAATATCCAAGTATATCGTGAAGGATTTTAACTTGCTGATGATCTGCCAAAGCAGAGAGATCGTAGAACCGGGCTAATGTGTTTATTCTCTCATGCTGCAGTTTATGCTCCGACACAGACGCGTCTCCCTCCCCTTCTGTCCCCTTCTGTCCCCTTCTGCTCCTCAGTGGTGAAAACAAAACTTAAAAGTAAAGTCCGCAAAAACCACTTCATCCCGGTTATATGCAACTGTTGTGATATTTTTCCAAACCTGAAGCGGCGTGAGCAACAGTTAACTTATCTGCATAGTTTGGAAAGTTAAGTTTAAATCTCGGAGAGCGACACAAGAAAGGAGCCGGAGAGACGTTAACAGTCTGCAGAGAGTCAGACAGAGAGGAGCTCAGACAGACAGTGATGAGAGATATAACCCCGGTGTTTAAAACGTTGCTGTCGGTGTTTTCTGCTCTCTCAGTTTATAAAAGTTACTAACACGCCTCTCCACTCGAAGCTCACTTGTTGTGATAACGGAACCTAAAGGGATTAGGCTAAATGACGTTATGGAACGGAGGGAGGCGATCATATCAGCGAGGTCCGGACCTCGGATGTTAATTTTTTTAACAGTAGGCCAACAATCACTTATTTCTATACTTTGATTTCTATGCATGCTGATGAAGTGATGTCATTCAGCAGCTCTTTGTCCTCTCGTTCAGTGTGCAGCAGGCAGGTGAGAGTGAGTAACCATGGTGACTGTTTGTCAGTCAATCAACGATGTCCCGCCCCCTCTATGAATAAAACTCTTCTGTCAGTAAAATTTACTTTGATCATGTGTCACAGAATTAAAACATTCTGTATTATGTTTGATTATATATAAACTAAACTAAAGTTAGTCTAATGATGTCATAAAGACAACAAAGGCTGCAGAGCCTGTATGAAGCTCCAGCTGGAGGAACTCTGCAGGGCTAAAACAGAACAGAAAGACAAGAACTTGAAGTCTACATGTTTTTAAATAAATGCATCACTGCAAAAGACATTTCTGATGTGAGTGCATATGTGAAAACGGCTAATGTTGATTGAAACCAATATGATAAACTGATCATTAGGGTATTCACATGGAGACTACGGAGACATCATGAAGTTTAAGTCTTCTGGAGCTTCAGATATAACAGCCCAGCAGGACGGGCCGACGCGGGCTAAAGGTAAACACTGCAGTACAACACAAGAGGACTTCAACGTTACTTTGTTGTGCTGAGTAATTATTCCCGTTGTTTGATCTCTTTCAAGGTGTGGACGCATCTCATGCACTGGCAAAGAAAGATTGGGAAAGAATGAATAAGTACAAGGATGACATCTTCTGTGTAGCAGCTCAACATAAAGTCGATCCGGCTGTTATTGCTGGCATCATCTCCAGAGAGTCCCGGGCCGGAAATACAATAAAGGACAATGGAGGCTGGGGAGACCATTTCAAAGCCTGGGGACTGATGCAGGTTTTTACAAATATCTATGTATTACTCACACTGGAGCCTTACATGTAGACGGTGGTGATTCCAGAGTCTGTTGGGGCCCTAGGCGAAAAATAATTGGGCGGCCCTCCTACCGGCGTTCATCACCATTACGTCTCCCAGTGTCTCGACGCTTACTCCTCTTCCTCTTTTTCTCTCCTATAGACTAATAATTCCTCTTCATTTTTCTTTATTGACTGTCATTGACAAACACTGGTTTTAACAGCAATAATTCATGCAACGCTAAGCAGGGCAATGAGAGTGAGTGCTGACTGATGGGGCCCCCTTAAGGCCCTGACACACCAAGGAGACCGTCTGCCGTTGGTCCGTCGCTGAGCAGTCGTCGCCCTCGTTTTTGCTTAGTGTTCAGCTCCATCGATACCCATCGGCCCCAGTTGGCCTTTTTTTGGCCGATTCCACATCGATTGAATCGACGTGAGCCGGCGCGGTTGGGGGTAGGAATCTCTCTGATTGGCTGTTCAGCTAAACGAAACAAGAGAGCCAGAGCACGGGAAGAAATACGGAAGCGCCTCTTCTATTCTTGTTCCAATAATTAAAGGCTGAATATGAGATTTTTCACACTTCAATGTAATAGAAATCAAGTATATAAAAGTTGTTTAATTGAGGGACTAGAGAAAAGAAGAATAACATACTGTACTCACTGCTTAACTGTGTTTCTAGATCACGCTCATTTCAGGTAAATTTACATGCAGTGTGAAGATACCAGCATAATAAAGATCGCTAGCATTAGCATGCTAACACAACAATGCAGCGCGAGTTGTTTTGGTTTCATGCTGGAGCTCAAGGGCGACATCTGCTGGATCAAAAAATCACATATTCTGCCCTTAAGGTCCAAGGGCTGTCAACACCAGCGCCATTTTTTACTTTTTATCAGACATTAATCTCCATTAGAAGTACCTATATTATGCGTGTTGAACGACAGCGGTGAGAAAATTGTCTTCTTGTATCACGGTTTAGTTTTCTGCGTTCTTCCTCATCCACTTCCGGTTTCCCCTTTTTGGAATGACGATTACAGACTAGAGAGTTATTTCCTTCTTACGCATGCGCAGAACGTACGTGGAGGTTGGTCGGCGGCTGTAGTCTTTGCGGTGTGTTCTAGTGCAACTTTTTGGCCAAGACAAAAGGAGTCGTGCGCTGATGTTGTGCCCTGAAAAAGGGTATTATGAATAAATGTGCTCGGACACGATGCTTCCTCTCTGGCAGCGTCATGAAGAATCACGGCTGAGAGCTCCCCCTTCCGGCCTCGGCAGGCATTACTAATCAATCCAAAACATTATCTTTCAATAGACTCTACAGGTAGATCACAGATTAACAACTTCTGACAGACAGATATCTGCATATTTTAACCAGAAACTATCTCTTTACAGAGATACCTATCCTTTATTCATTTCCACTTGTCAAGGCCACAACTATTGATGTGAGAATTACTAACACCTGAGTTGTTGTTGTCTCTGTAGGTTGATGTCCATCCAGACGGAGGAAACCACAAAAAAATAGGCGCATGGGACAGTAGGGCGCACCTGTTCCACGCTACAGGGATCTTGGTTGATTTCATCAAAAAGATCCGTAAAAAATATCCAGACTGGAGCAAAGAGTATCAGCTGGAAGGTTTGTTTTACTGAACCATGCAGTGGACTTTCAAAAGCTCAACCCTCTTCACACAATCAATCTGATCTTACTTTTATTTGATTCCACAGGAGGGATTGCAGCCTACAACTGCGGGGATGGAAAAGTCGACCCTAAAGACGCGGATAAAAACACGACAGGTGGAGACTACGCCAATGATGTTTTGGCCAGAGCTCAGTGGTACCGAGAGAAATACAATCCTAAGACTTTTTTTCTTTTCTGAATAGCAAACTACAAAACAGAAAAAAACCCACAGATGATGTTTCTACTAATCTGGCCCAAAGTGAGAAGATTCTGAAAGAAATGTATAAAATAATAATCTCTGTATCCTCCCGTACTACTCACTAAAACTACTCTGCTGGTGAAGATTAGATACCGCCCGTCAGCGCGTAGCTGACATGATTGACAGGTGGGCGTGATGTAACGGTTTGTTAGGAGGTTTAAAACCCGCCTCAGCTCCAGCTCTCAGCCTGTCATTAGGCTGACTGAAAGTTAGGCTGTGACAGGATTTCCAGCATGGCGGCTGCTGCCGATGATCCTCCGGAGCCCTCTGCAGGAACAGATGGGCGACGTCTGTTGTGGATTTTTCTGTTGGTAATAAAAGATCTCAAGTCAACGTCTTTTGTCTTTGAGTATTTTATTGCATAAAATAAGAGTTATTTTGCAAAAGGGGTAATCAGCTACAAAAGTAACGTCAGTCACAAGTGCATCAAAGATTCCTGGGGCAGTCCCGGTTGCAGAGCATATTTATACATTCACATGGTGTAGGTATATTGCATATACATGAGTAACACAATGTCATTGGTTTCAGCTTGCCCTAGTGGCTACACCTTCTGCTAGTCTGCCCGGTGATTAATATTCTACACTTGGGCCAACTGAGCTTTGTTTCTTGACAACACTTTACCAGTTTCTGTTTCAAAGTATGGTTCTGTCACTGGACAGCGGCACTTGACTGTGGATGGTAAGAACAGTGAGTTTTCAGTTCAAATGCAACTGTGTGGCAAGCTGTTGTATGGCTTCGTTGACAAAATGTGAGTCATTGTCTGAGGACAGTTTTTCAGGGATTCCCCACCGGGGAATGATTTCTGTTAGTAAGGCTTTCGCTACTACTGAGGCGGTGGCATGTTTGGCTGGAAAAGCTTCTACCCATTTGCTAAACATGTCTGCCAGTACCAGACAGTACCTTTTACCCTCACTGGGGGTTAGTTGGATGAAATCCATCATGACATGTTGAAAGGGTCTGTCCGGTGCTGGTGCTGGTCCTGGATTATTTTGGGCACATATCAAACAATTTTTACAAAAATCAGCTGCAAATGTAGAAAATCCTTTTGTGAACCAATGTTTTTGAACTATAGCACATACCCCTCCTTTGGACACATGGTCAAAACAGTCTACGAGGGAGACAAGTTTAATCATCTGGACCTCTCCATACACCCACAGAGAAGAGGCAGCCATTTTGAGACCAGAGCTTTCGTTCTGCAGGGGTAGAGAGAGAAGCCAGAGTAGACAGGGAGGCTGTAGGGGAGGGGGGGAAGTTGAGTCAGTGTGTAGATAAGAAGTGTGAGAAGTGGAGGCAGCTGCGGCTTTGGCAGCTGGATCTGCTCGAGCATTACCTAGAGACACCAGATCTCGGGCAGAAGTGTGTGCAGCACATTTGCAAACAGCAACGCTAGCTGGTAGGAGGATGGCTTCTAACAAAACCGCAACTTTGTGATGGTGTAAAATGGGTTTACCGTCTGATTTGAGAGATTTGCAATGTTTCCAAAGGGCTCCAAAATCATGTACAACACCAAAGGCGTAGCGAGAGTCTGTGTAGATGGTAACAGTTTTGCCTTTTGCCCTTTTGCAGGCTTCAGTCAGGGCCGCCAGTTCTGCCGCTTGTGCTGAGTAATGAGAAGGCAGAGGAGAGGAAGAAACAACAGAAAATCCTGCATGGGCAGTTCCCCCATGCAGGATCTCTGAAAGCAGAACCATCAAAATAGAAAATGAGATCAGGGTTAGTGAGAGGTACATCTTTCAGGTCCGGTCTCGGAGTGCAGGTGTGTTGGAGCTGTTAGGTCTCTTTTGTGCGCGATGTCTCTCAGCGCTCTCTCCATCTCGGAGAAATTGGGAATAAAATGTTGACAGTAAGAACACATGCCCAGGAAAGAAGGAACTCGTTTTTTAGTCATGGGTTTAGGTGTCTCTGCCACGGCTTTAACCCGAGAGGGAGAGAGAGATTGTGGTGTGAGGATGTGGCCTAAAAAGGTCACCTCCTGTTTTACAAACTGTAGTTTAGACAGGGATGCTTTATGGTCATCAACGTACTGCAGCAAGACTGAACCTGGAGAGAGTGTGAGAGGGGAGAGACTGCGAGACAAAGCCTGACAAAAAAGGGTCGAGCTGCAGGTCAGTCCTTGGCACAGGCGTGTCCATGTGTAACGCTTTCCTCCGAACTGGAAAGCAAACCAAAACTGGGAGTGTTTCTGAACGGGGATAGAGAAGAAAGCATTAGACAGGTCCACAACGGAAAACCATTTCACAGAAGAGGGAATCTGGCTGAGAATGGTGTATGGATTGGGAACATTAGGAGTGGAGGGCGATGATGGCAGCGTTTACAGCTTGTAGGTCCTTCACAAAACGCCACTCCGTGGGCTGCCCGGCTGGGCGATTCTTTTTTACTGGGAAGATTAGAGTCTGTACTGGTGAATCTCCACATGGAACGATAATGCCAGCCTCGAGGAGAGAGTTAAAAAACTGGTGTTATGCTCTCTATAGCTTCTTTTCTGAGTGGGTATTGGTGTTGTTGGGGTCTGTAAATTGACTTTGGGATTATCTGAACCGGTTCACAGTTTTTAATCGGGCCTACATCGTATTTGTTGGCTGCCCAGGTACGCGTGTAGCTGACATGATGGATGGACAGCAGGATGGGCCCTACACCGCTCTGTACAGTTACAGATAATATAAGGAGTTCATTTACGTATGGAATAATAAAGAAACCAACAGCTACCAGTATACATGCCCTATAAAGGCGGGGACTTCCTTTTACTTCCTGCTACAGGAAGATGGAAACTCTGCAGAAAAATAAAATGTACAAGGCAGATCAACTGAGGTGTGTTTCTTGTAAATCAGCTGCCTGAAACTGAAGGTGTAAAAGTAAAAGTAAAAGTATCATCAAATCACATGATTTCTGTGAAAAACAATCACAAAACATGTTAAAGTTCAGTTTACAGGCTACTGTGTGTACGGGAGGGGGGGGTTGACTGATGAATGACCTCAACAACAAACACTCACCATGTATGGGTAAAGGTGAGTAAAAAACTGGATACAACCAGATTTATCTAACTCAGACTGTAATTAAACCTTTGTGTGTGTAGCTCAGTCTGATTCTTGTAAACCAGCTGCCTTCACCTGATTCTCTCCTCTTTCTCTTCTGACACATCAGCTCACAGCACCTCCTGCAGGCGAGAGAGAGAAACACCAGACAGCACGAGGAAGGGAGTAACGTCATGAGGAAAGTGAAAGTGAAAGCACTGAGTTATAAATACAACCGGAGAGTGCACAGAGGGACATTGTGTTGTTTGACATCTCAGCTGTGAGGAGACCACCAGAAGAGGAAGCATCAAAGATGGGTGAGTGCTCGTCTGATGGAATTTTTCTTGAGGGAAGTCAAGTTTTACGAATTTCCTCAACAGTCTGTTTTTCGCTGTTTTTTCTTTTAGTTGAACTTAATTTCCTAATTTCTCTGTGCTTTGTTTAACCAATGTCTTTATTTCTTGTTCTCATTTTATTCATAATTATATTTATTTTCCCTGTATATACTCTCCAGCTGTATTGTTTTTTTAGAGCGACTGAAACATCCCATCTTCTTCCCCCAGGGATTAAATGAAGTGATTCTGATTCTGTTTCTGTTAAAAACTGATCTTATAATAAACATATCATTTGCAGGTTACGGAGACATCATGAGAGTTCAAACTAGCGGTGCATCACAGAAACGGCTAATCAGGACAATCTGCGATACTCAGGTAAGTAAGCTGCGAAACACAGGAGCTCATTTTATATGAAGTAGTTCAATACAGAGGTGCTGCTTCTCAACAGGCAAGGCAGGGGACAAATCCTCTAGATCAGTGCTTCTCAAACCTTTTAGACTGTGTACCACCTCTGAAAATATTGGCTCTCCAAGTACCACCATTATGGTAGACGTTAAAATACACTGTAGGCCTATTTTTTTACACATATTTCACACAAGAGGCAAATTAATTCATTAAAAGAATATTATTTATTATTGACTGCTGGCAGCCACACTATAGGACTTCTAAGGGCTAGCGCTAGAACTTCCCCTTAAACTAACACAACTCTGACATTTGCCCAAATCAAAAAAAAGTGCAGCACAATAAAAATGACAACTTTATACCAACAACCTGTTTGAGAATATTTAATCTACAGGGTTTCCCACTAATAGACGATAAGTGGGCCCAAGAGAGGGAGAGAGAAAGAGAGAGAGAGAGAGAGGGAGCGAGAGAGAGGGAGAGAGAGAGGGAGAGAGAGAGAGAGGTAGAGGGAGAGAGAGAGGGAGAGAGAGGGAGAGAGAGAGAGAGGGAGAGAGAGGGAGAGAGCGCGTGAGAGTGCAAGCGCGCGCTCCACAGGCTCGGTGCAACCAGAGCCGCTTTATTATAAGTCTCTGCGTTCAACAACAGCAAAACTGCCTTTTAAAAAAAATCCCTCTCGACTCCTGCAGAGTGTTAAGACAACAAAAGAGAAACGAATCACATCAGCTTCAGAGCTACAGAGAGAGAGAGATAGAGGGTGAGCGACTGTTCGTACATGCATCAAAACTGAAGCTTCTCCTGGCTCCGTTTTAAAAATGTACAGCTGCTTGCTGCCGATTGTGCTGAACTCCAATAAATAACAGAATATCTGTTAATGTAGGTCTACAGCTGCTTGCTGTTGTTTCAGGACTGAACTATAAACAGAATATCGAGTGGAACTTTTCAAAATGTGAGGCGTACTCCTGTTGTTCTTTATGTCTGTGCGCGCGAGCATAAATTGAGCAGATTAAAGTTGTTTGTTGCAAAAACTAGATTAATTTAGAGGAGAAAACACATTTGATATAAATACAAATCAAAGATACAAGACAGATAAGATAAGAGTATGACAAAAAAAAGAATTGTCGTTTTATGCTTTTTTTTTATGTGGAGATTTCTTTGCATACCACCACAGGGAGCCCGTGTACCACCGGTGGTACGCATACCATAGTTTGAGAACCACTGATCTAGATTTACTCTAAGTATGTTTTTTTTCATGTGCTGGTAAAAAAAAACGTGATGGGACATTTGACTTAAAACAAACCTGGACCACTGAGCTTCCCACCATGAGCCTGAAATCAAAAGAAATCCAGTTTGTGAAAACGGTCAATATCAGATTTGGTCACTCCGAGTCTACTAGCACTTTTTTTCTGTGTTTTTTTTTTCTCTAAAGGTGTG